ACAAAAAAAAAAAAAAAAAAAAAAAGAACAACACTAACACAAGTAAGTGGTGTTATTTGGTAAATGAAGCAGGAGCCAACTAACTAAAAATGGTATTCTGTAACAACTTTTATTTCCTTGGTCTTGCTTTGGCTCAAATCTCCCTCTACAAACACTTTCACAGTTATGGGAATGACTTCAAGTTCATAAACTTTTTAACAAACTCAAGATAAGCAAGACTGCAAATATGGAAGCTGATTTATGAAGCAGTTCTGTTTGAGTATGAAAGATGAATTTTCTATAAATCATGCAGTGGGCAGTTAAGTTCTGTATCTGTATTTGTTCAGAGACAGTTACTTATTTTTAAAGTATTTGTAACTGCAAGTCATTTATCTACAATTTTCTCTCTAAAAGAAAAATATTTTTCTGTCTCCACCTCCCTCTTTCCAGAAGGAAAACAAAACACAAAAAACACACAACACAACATGGACCTACTCCTCAAATCAAAACAATCCAAAATCAATTTAACAGGGAAAATAAGCAGTACTTTCTGAAGTTTTTGGTGATGACAGAAACTTATTTCTCTTAGCTGGGCAAAACCCCAGCACTCAGTAGATTGAGGCATGATAGTTGTAGGTCAAAGCTTATTTCCTTTGAACATTTTAATTTGGCAAAAGAAATATTAAATACATCAAATTCACACTACCAGGAATTTTAAATTACTTTGCATAAAACCTTTGGTTACCACCAAATTCCAGCTGCATCAAAGCCATGACATTGTCTCTCAAATTGTGGGAAAATGTGACCCATTAGGTTAAAAAAATATATACATAGGTAAACTATGCCTGATTCAAATTTAGTTAGAAATAGAAAGTATGTTTCTAAAATACATATTGAGTACATTGTGGGTCACGACACAAACACATGAGGAGGCTTCTGCTGTACTCTATGCTCTTCTGAACTGTTATAATTTATGAGCACGTACTCTTGTAATTTTAAGAAACTGAACAGGAGAGTTAGGCATTATGACACTGTTAACAATAATGCTTTGCATACTGAAGAAGTACCACCATCAAATCCTCAACTCCAGGAAAATCAGACAGAATTCTATGGTCTGGGCACTAATACTTCATTTTGAGTTTTAATACCGATTCTGAATGACTTTGGACTGAAAATTCATCATACTTATTTTGTTTTCCCACTTTTATTTGTAACATTTAATTATCTTGAAAAATTTGTTAGTTAGGGTGATATGATAACCTGTTGGGGGGAGGGGGGACACAGCTGGGAGACTACAAACCAGAATTGTGAAAATCAAAATTTGGATTAAAAACACTTGCAAATTTTTTGTTTGGCAATTGTTCTATACCTGCATTTCCATGTCTGGAAGTGGTAAAACAATAATGCCAGGCAGCTCTCATTGAGTACTAATTCTCTGTGCTGCAGACCACTCCATGCTGTGCTCCTGTGACTCACTTATGACTCTGTCCTAGTGGCAGAGAAAGAATCTGAGCCCAGACTGTCTGGCTTCAGAGCCCAAATTTAACTTCTTTAAAATATTAGATTGCATGAGTGATTATTTATGGTGTCTTTGGTAGATGTCTAACTCAAATTCCCTACTGCTATTTGGCAGGGAAAAAGTGTGAATGAATATCTTTCTATACTGCACTACACCTTTCAGTACAAGTATGGATCCTACACTGTGTGTAAGCAACATTTTATATTTATGGTGTGCACAGTAATCCAGAGAGTGCACTTTGACACACTTCATTTTATACAACTTGCAGGTGTTAGGGATCTTACCTTACCCTGTGAATAGTAGACATACTTTAAAAGTTGCTCTTGTGTGCTATGAGAGGGTCTGCCATAACACTAAATATGTGCCACTGAAAGTATTTGTTCTTTTGTTCATGAATGTTGACGGTCTTGTGTATTTCAGCTGATTAATTAGGTGTTTGTTTGCAGGGTCAGATCTATTCAATGATGTGTAGAAAGTCAGCCTGACTGGAAACAGACCAAAACACACTGTAGCATAGCCAGACAAAACTTTCTTCCTGGTCTCTATGGTTAGGGGTCACACACATGACCCCAGTGGTATAGCTATTATTGGCAAGAATGTGAAACACAAACTCCACTTTGGGGAGGAGGAAGGAAGACTGGGAAGAAAATGCTCTTATGATCCTCTGTGCCATCTATTATGTCTGGAGGTATTTAAGAATTTTATTTTGACTTCAACATCTGACATCATGATTTTTAAAAGGATGTGGAGGCAGACATACTAGAGTTACCTAAGACTTTGCTTCAGTCTACATATAATTTTAATCCTGTTTATTCTAAAATGATTGCCCTGTACATTTATTAGACTCTTTGGACTCTAAAAGGCAAAAACCCATCAGCTGTCAGGTTCAATTTTTTTCTGCAATCAACTCTTTGTTGCACAGCACAGATATTAAAAATTAATAGTTGCTCAAGTTTGAAAGTAGAAACCTGGGGAGATATAAAAAGGGTCTATTTCAATCAATTTTAATCACTGTCTTTTTGGGCTAGAAAAGGAAACAGACTTGATTTTTCATGGATGGCTTACTAAAGTCTATATTGCATATTTTCACAAAAATTTATTTTGCTACATTCCCTTCCCCAGGTCACCAGGGAACCAAGAGTAGAGCCGGTGATAGGACACTGTGTACAGGGCACCTGATACAGTGGGAAGTCATTTTAGTGGGGCACACAGGGAGATACTATATCAAAAAATCTCCTAGGGTGACTTCCCAATGACTCACTTTAGTTATAAAAAAAATAGAGATGAGCAGAAATCCCAAGGAATAAGAGAAAGAATGAGAAAGACAAAAATGTGTGCCTCCATCAAAATAAGTAGAGGGAAAAGACCCCCCATTCTCAGAGTTCTTGCTCAAGTGTTCCTATCTCAAACAGCCCCACTCAGGACCACAGGCACTCCCTATCCCCATACCTGGAGTCATGGACTTCATAGTAGTCACCACCTATGACCTATCCCATCACAGGTTTCCTGTCTATCGCCTGTACTCCTAACGAGTGCAAGCACTGTGGGGAAGGGACCCTGGCTCTGTTCACTGAGCTATCCTCAGAGTCTGCCTAAGCCTGCAATCCAGTAGGAATTCAATGATCATTCCCTGTATTATTGAATCAATGGACTACCTATCCCCGTCATAAAAATTTTAACTAAAAGCATTTTATGCCAGTATTTTTCATCAGTAATACACTGGTAACTGTGGGTACAAACAGAACAGAATTTAGGGGTAGGGTAGGACAGTTCTATATAAAATGAACAAGTGAAGAGTAGGCAAACAATGAGGCACCACAGAAAACTAGACACCCTCTGGGACAGGCAGTCCTAGCTTGTCTTCCTATGCTTGTCCCCAGCCAGAGGCCAAGGAAGCTACCAGATAATGAGAATAAACAGAGCTACTCATGGATTTTGATTCTTGGTTTTCATTCTAATCAATATCATTCTAGAGTTTTCTCCATATTCTACTAAAAAGTCTCCAGCAATTTAAAAAAAAAAATTCTTATTTCCTGGAAGGACATTCTCCCCCATTCTTCCTCCTGTGGTGACCTGAATGTGTCTCCAAGTGTTCATGCGTTGGACACTGAATGCTCCTGCCCTCATGCAAGGATTAATGCCACCACCATGGGACGGCATTCATTCTTTTTTCCAGGGCTCTCTGTCTCACCATGTGAAGCCCTAGATCTTATTACATTGGAGCAAGAAGACCCTTATCAGGTGCTGGTGGTGCCAGGTTCACCAGGTGCTGTGAACTTCCTAGCCAACAGAACCAAAAGCTAAATAAACCCCTATTCTTTGTAAGTTTCCCAGTCTACAGAATTCAGTTACAGCAACAGAAAATAACTTGATCAACTTCTCATTTCAAGGTCCCTCAGGGTGCCACCTACCTGTGATTTTACCCAGACTGATTTCCTGGAAGTCGGAGTTCCGAAGCTCTTCAGTGCCTGCAGACTTCATGACAGAATTGATGGATGACAAGGTGCTGAAGAGCTGTGAGTTGAGGGAGCCAATTTGTGAGTGAGGCTCCCCAAAAGCTTCTGCCAGCTCGCTGTAGTTCTCAGCCAGCAGTGTCTGTTGCTCTGTAAGCAGCTTCTGCACCCGCTCAATGTAGTGATCCAAGCCAGTCATCATTCCAGAAGTAGCCTGTGGCTGGGGATCCTCTTGGAGCTCCCCTACAGGCTCGTCCCCAACACCCACGCTCCTCTTACTGCCTGTCAGTCCCACAGTCAACTGTGGAGGCCCACATGCTATGGTCCTCATTTTGAGGCCAACCAGATAGTTATCTTGAATATTTATCTGCCCCACGCCTGACTCTTTGGTTTTCACAGTGCATGGCTTATCAAACCCAGAATTGCCAGAAAGCACCGTCCCAACACCAACGGACCGCGTCTTGGTAGAGGAGTTGACATCTTTGACGCGGCCTTCTCCTATGGCCACGGTCCGCATCTCCACTGTCTGGGTGCAGGTCTGTTTGTCCAGAGTGCTGAGGAAAGTGTTGGTGCAGGATTCTACGAGGGTGGCTCTCTCGGTGTTGGTGGACTGGTCCACCTGTTCCAAAGCTGTACTGGTGTGCTGGCTTGTGGTATGAGGCACTGCCATTATGGCAGCTTCCACTTGGCCCACAGCTTCGGTGTTCATGCTGCGGGAGGTGCATTCCTTGGGACAGCAGATGGTCACATCAATGGAACAATCTCCACAACCAATGGACCGCACATCCTTGAGGTTCAAGTTTGTCTTGAGGAGTGTCAGGTCACTCCCAGATGTCTCTGTGTTGCTGCCTGTTTCACAGACGCTGACTTCCACACCCACACTTGCATCACAGGTCTCCACAGACCTCCCGGTGCCTCGGTCATGCATGTCCACCCTCTCCTTAACAACCCACCAGTTCATGGGCAGCTCGGGCCCCACCACTTGACTCTTGTGCTCGGGTTGGCAGGAGATGCCTACACTACTTGTTTGCACAGAGGTCCCAACACATGTGTCTACCATGTCCACATGACTGCCAACCATTTGGTCTCTGGTCTGCACCACTGCTTCCACCAACCTGCTGAAGACAAGTGGCTGGGCCACCATGGCTTTGTCAACTTTTTTCCTGGACCCAGCAGCCTGCAGTTCTTGTTTTAGTTTAGTCATCTCTCGGTCATGAGTGGTTTCTTTAAGCTGTACTTCCAGGCGGTAGATCTTTTCCTTTAAGGCATCTATGGTCTGCTGTTGCAGCTCAATTTCTTTGTCGGCTTCCGTAGTCACACCCAGCATGGCCTCCGTCACGCTGACCCCCAAATTCCTCATCTCAGTGACTGTCCCAACAGCTGCATCTTTGCAGGACCTGGAGCCCCTGTGGTATACAACAGTGTCTTTCATGTTCTCGTTGCCACCTACAGCCACAGACCGGCACTCCCGAGGTGGGCACTCCCCGTTCTCCCTGAGTTCTGTGGAAGCCTCACAGCTGCTGTCCTGTATCTTCTGCTCTAGCGCCTGCATGTCTGCTGTGAGCTGCCGGAACTCCTTGATTCTCTGCGTGCTCTGCTCCACACTCTCTATCTCTTCCTCTTCATAGTCAATATACAATTCCCCACCACTTCTCTGGGCCCGGGAGAGCAACTCTAGCTGGGATGCATTACCCGCGCTGTAGGAGCGTTTCCTCATGCCACAGACATCATTCTGGGAGGCAGCCCTCTGCGTTTTCAGCTGTGAGGCCAACTGCCGCTTCTCCTCTTGCAAGACAGAGATCTTTACCTGGAGCACAGGGATGGTTCGCACCTGCTCCTCCAGCTCCTTTAGGCGTTTCAGGGCAATGGCCATCTGCTCGCGGATGTGCTGCAGGTGCATGGGGCTCACATTAGTCACTGGGGTGGAGATCCCCGAGCTTAGTGGGCTGTGGCGGATGGAGCTCCCCATGGAGGAAGTAGTGACAGGTGCTGGGACATAGCCACCATAATCTCCATTGCCTTGGTATCCATTTTGAAGCTGGTGCATGGCAGGATTGTGGTTTCCAGAACCCATAAAGGAGGGGAGAGAGCTTGTGGAGCCCATGCCACCAAAACTGGCCAGCCTGGGCCTTCTGAATTCACCCGGTGTCATCTGCATGGTGGCTCTCTCCTGTTCCAGTCTTCTCCGGGTCTCCATCAGAGTCTTGGTGACATGAAGGTTGTGCTTTGGGAGCTGTGGTGAGGGAGGGGGCAGCTGTCGATTTTCTGGAATGGTAAGAAAAGTGGGTGAAGTGTCCAGGGGGGCAGGTGGCCTTGGGACTGGGGTTGATGTGACTTGGCTTCTGGCTAGCAGGAAGCTGGGACACTGCTTATTGTCATCACTGTTGGAGGAGGAGAGGGATTCAGTGGAAGTCCACACATCTTGCTGACCAGGTGTGGCCCTGGTTTCCGGGCACGGCACGGATGGCTTCCGCCTCTTCTGGATGTTCAGTTTCTTGATAGTGTTCCCCTTCTGGATGTCATCCACATATTTGACGAAATCTAAGTCTAGCTGATAACCATAGGGGGTTTCCACAAAATAAGGGTCTCTCTGTTCCTTGTCATGGCCTCCATTCAGAACATCATTTGCTTTTTCTAAGAGAGAGAAGAGAGTATTACAATGCCTGCATTACACATTTTGATAAAAACTATTTGTGTATGTTGTAGTGCAGAATGCTGGTATGACTGTAAGAACTGACAGAACTAGGTTCTAGCCCTGGATTTACAACCTAGCTGGTGAGCAATTTAACAAACTTCTCTGGACTTCAGTTTTCCTCTGGGTAAGAAAGGAGATACAAATATTATTTCACAAAGTGTTACTGAGATACCAAGTGCTGAAAGTAACCAGCAGACTAACAGAGTAGGGCAGAGCAGACCCATGAGGCCTGGGGTCATACATGGGTGTTGTCCCCCTTTCTGTAGGCTAGGCAGCCTTTCTAACAGGTGGCCAAGATCCACCTTGTATCTAACTACCTCTACAAGATTCCAATTAGCCCTGATGCACGTTTCCTGGAAAGCTGGGACACTGGAAACTGAGTGATTAACTCTTGAAGAATGGGTATGAGAATGCAGTCCCAGGACAGACTTCAGTTCTGCGCTGTTATCTCACACTGCATGGTTTTTCTCCTCTTAAAAATAAAACCAAACCCTCTCCTGACTAGAGGAAAGTTTTTCCACTCTGACTTCATTTTATCTTCTTGACAAAACCTTCACTATCTCAAGAACACTTGGTTTTATAGTTCTGATCAATCCAAACGGATCTAAAGGAGAATGAAAATAAGGGCAAACTTGTACTCTAACCACTGGATCATGTGACATTCAGTAAACGCTACTTCTGGCTAAACCAAACATGTAAAAAAGGAAACACAGGAACCTTTCACAGCATAGACCTTGCTTGTGACCTGAGCTATGCGTTTCAAACTTAAAAGCAAAGCCATTTTGTTTGTTTAAATTACAGAATTAGGTAATGTGCTTTTCTAGAGGAATACGAACAAGCTCTGTGTTTTCAGAGCTATGGAAAGGACTCCACAGCAGAGAATGGAAATGTAAGCCATCTGTCTCCCTGCAACTGTGTGGGTAATTCCTCCCCACCCCCATTTCCCCCAGTCCCGCCCATTGCTGTCAAGTCCAAGGACTTCCAGCACACTAGGGTTGCCTATCTGCCCGTCTAGCCTCTAACACTGCCACATGGCCACACATTACAGCTGACAGATAGCATGAATGCTTGAATGATCTTTTTGCCTCCATTTGTATCTATATTTTGAAACTTGGAAAGAAAGTACCAAAAGGGTGCCAGAGGAATTAAGAGGGTAAATATTCTGTGTGTCTCAATTTAAAACAATATTAGGAACAGGGCTGTAGCTTAGTGGTAGAGAACTTGACCAGCATACTTGAAGCCCTGGGTTCACTCCCTGCAGTGTACACACACACACACACACACACACACACTACACATACACAAACATAAAACCGAAACAACAGAACAATATTTAAAATAAACAAACTGTGTAGCTGCTAGAAGGCAGGCACTCAGATTCAATTCCAAAGCAGGTAGGCAATGAAGGTTCTAGCCTCAGCATGAACTGATCCAAAGTGCTTATGCTGGAAACTTGTGCTCATACTAACAGAATATGTCTCTTTCTTTTCTAACTTCCAGCTCCACATGGAGAACACGCGCACTCAAAATATGTGGCCAGACCTGTTTGCAGTGCTGTCTGAAATTGTGTAGTAAAGAGAAAGGGCAGGCAGGCTCGGGTGTCAGACAGGCAGACAGATCTCCCCAGCTAGCTCTCTGGGCCCCTGTCGGCCGCCAGCATGGAGTGTATCATGAGGATTTAGCCCACCCATTCCCCGAGCTCCTCACCTACCGTGTGCAGTGTACCCAGCTGGTTCGGTTCACTTACTGTGGCAGCTGCTGGCCCTGCCTGGGGCGCCCTTGTTCCTCACCCCGTAAGGAAAAGCCTGTCAATGTTCGTGTACACTGGCCAGCCCCGCATAAATACCATAGGCTGAGTTTTCACCAATGAAGGCTCTCTGTGGCTCCTGACACCACCCACCCCGGCCCACTCAGCTGTCCAGCATTCTCTGCTTTCTTATGAGAACAGGAAGCCCGCACCTCCTGCAAATGGTGCTTCTCATTCCAGTTTTGCCAGGAGTACAAGCAAAACCAGCGACGTGAGCATCTCACAGAGAGGCTCTGTCTTTCTGGGACGGCCACTACTTCATGAAAGAGCCTATGTTTGAGCGCAGACCCAGCAGCCTCAGTCTGTCACCTGAGGAAGGGCAGAGCCACAATCAGCCACTGTTCTCCAGGATCTCAGCATGCCAGGAGTCCCCTGGGCTCGCTTACCAGCTCCCTTCTAACACTATCTCAGAGGAGTTCACACCCTGGTGAGAGTTTCTCAGAGAAGATCAATAAAACCAAACCCTTCTCCGAGTACAGAGTAGTAAGTAAGCGCTTGTAAAAATAAATGTCCTGCCCAGACCATATAAAGAAGACACAAACTGACTCACACATGAAGCGGGGACATTTGGGCGAATCTCTCAGGGTTTCTTCACAGAGCTACTTTCCCCCAAGGCAGCACTTCCAACAGGAAAGGTGAGCTGATTCCCTGTCAGGACTTAGAATGCAGCTAAACAGCCACTTTCAGCAAATCTTACCTGGCCCTTTCTTGCTGTTGCTGATGTTCAGTGTGGAGAAATCACTCAGGGCCTGGGTCACACTGACCTACCCTCAAGTGAACTCTGGACTTTCTCTGGGAATCAGGAGAGGTTAGAATTTAACCATGTTAGTCTTGATCATTTCCCCATTCTGCTTAATCCAGGGACCCAGATGGCTTGTCACCCATGCTTCTTTCTCCAACAATGAAGAAACTGACATGTGTTCTCGAATCATCACTTGTACAAACAACTGTCCACAGTGCCAATTATTCTACAAGTACAGGAAGATCTCCAGTCTCATTATTTCTGTCTCCTGCTTCCCCGGATGTCCTTATACAGGTTAACAGAAATACAGCACTCACAAGGCCTGTTTTATTTCCCAACTTTTCCACATGTATGTCTTACTGTTCTGTGTCAAAGTATAAGGATCCTAAGAGTAATAAATTTATTTTTAAAAATATCCTTCATTGCTCTCCTCTACCAGCCAGTTAACAAGATGTGGGAACAGAGAAGATGTTTTAAAATCTTCCCTGAAGTCAGGCATGGTGGTATGCACCCAGCTGTGCAAGGAAGCCAAATTTAGGATCACGGTCTCTGCCTGTCCAGGCATAAAGCATGACCTTCACTCAAAACCAACCAATACAAAAAAGGGCTGGAGATGTAGCTCAAGTGCCTGCCTAGCATGCATGAAGCCCTGAGTTCAACCTTCCAATACAGACAAAAACAAAACCAAACCAAAAAAACTTCACTGGTGGAGTTCATAAGTGAATACGGTCACAATAAACTTTGAAAAACACCATATGTTCTGAGGCGTCACTGTTTGTTAAGATATTAGTGTTAAGGACATTTCTTACATGATGCTGTTTCAGTGATTATTTTTATGGGATGATTTTTATTTTTTTTACATTTTATAAATTTTTATAGCACATGGGTATTTGTTTATTTTTGGTGGTATGATGGGGGTTGAACTTATGGTCTTGGGCTTGCTAGGCAAGCGCTCTACACCTGAGTCATGCTGTCAGCCCTTTTTTGGGGGGTTGCTTATTTTGAGATAGGTTCTCCCTTTACGTTCAGGCCAGCCTGGACTACAATACTCCTATTTATGCTTCCCTACATAGCTGGGATGACAATAGCCACCATGCCTAGCTATTGGTTGAGATGGAGTCTTTTGCCAGGCAGGCCTCACACTTTGATCCTCCCATCGTGCCTCCCAAATAGCTAGGACTATAGGTGTGAGCCACTATACCCACAAGAAGTCACTGCAAAGCAAAACAAATTATGAAATGAACTCTGATAAAGTCCAAGTGGGTGTGGCATGAACGTGGACAGCCATGGCAAAGACAGCTAAATATTCCTCAGTATCCCCAGTCTTCACGCTAACAGAAGCCCCTGTTTTTAGATGGAAAACATAAAGTCAATATTTCCACAGGCTCCTTTAATATTACTGTGGAAATACACAGAAATGTCATGTAGCAATCCCCAGGAATCTCCCTTAAAAGACAAAGGAATAGTTCTTTGATTTCCCTTCTTCATTTCTTCATCTATCCTGCTACTTAGAATCCAGATGTGATGAATGGAACACTAGCTGCTACCTTGGACCGTGAGTTCACACCTAGGGATGGAGCAACAATGTGGTAGAAAGAAACTGAGTCTCAAAGGGACTTTATGGATCAGAACTGCTATAGCTGTCGTGAAGAGCCTACCTACTCAGTTTTATGTGAAAGAGAAATTTTGTTTTGTTTGTTTACTTGGAGCTCCACTGAATTCTAAGACATAGCAGTTTCCCCCCCATGTCCTCCCCTCATTATCCCCAAATTAAGCACTACATCTTAAAAGGAAGAAAAGCCAAGTGATAAATTGAGGAGGTTTCACAAGAATTTTTATTATAAAAACTGGTAAATTTCAAGAATAAGGAAGTATAAAAACAATAGGTTTTTAAAAAATCTTTAATTGAGTTATAAGGAGACTCTTAAAGTGGGACTAAAAGAACTATGTCTGCTTTCTCACAGCCAACTGGAGTCCTGAAAGTAATAACTTCCATGCAGACGGGGAACTGGAGGGCGCCCCGGGTTTATGAGAGTTTTCTGAATGTCTGGAAATGTAGTGCTGGAGTCCATACCAGGCACCACCTCTGCCATCAGTACATAACATTTACTGAAAACCGGGTACAGAAAAAGGTCCAATTCCACGGAAAGACTAGGAGAAGAATTGATGAGAAATAAAAGGATATACAGTCCAGCTAGATGGATGACAACGTACACATGAATTGAAGTCAGTTACAAAGATGCATCATGAACACATGATGGTAAGACGGTATGCAAACAAGTGACCAAAACAGAGTGGAGCTCCCAAGAAGCGAGTTTTGAAAACCACTAAATGATGAGAGAATACAAAGGAAAAGGAGGCAGGTGGAGGTGCAGGTGAAGGACAGGTGAGGTTACACAAGTCTTAGGGTCAGGAGCAGGGCAACTCTGTTGCACTTAATCACTGTAACACTGCTAATCAGGCTGGGAATAGAGGGCTAGTTAAAATGTTTAAAACCTATATGTGAAGTATAGACAAAACTAAAACTGTATTTATATGTTCAACTCACAATCAATATTGAGGCTAAAGGCATAATGATACCTAACATCCATCAGTATTCAATTACTACTTACCAGGTGCTGTTCTAGCAGCTGGTGACCCTGAGAATCAAAAGAGGTAAGGTCTGCCCTCTCACAGGGCCCACCATCTAGTGCAGATGGGAGTGCATGGAAAAGTAAGAGATAAAACACAAAGCAGAAGTGAAGCACAGAGGCTCAGAGGCAGCAGCATCACAGGAGGTCACTCCAGTGCATGAAGGGAAGTGGGCGGCCTGCAGGCAGTGGGCTGGCATCATCTGAGATGACCTCCCTCTTAGAAACCAAAGGTCAGAGAGTCCTTTCTCTTCCTCTCCTCCTCTAGCTCAGCCTGTCCAGTCTATAATTTGAAGTAAACAAATACCACTGTGCCAGCATCGATTAGAAACAACTCCCTAAGTCCAGACCAAAGTCCCATGCATTCAGAGAGAATGTCGATACTGATGCTGTTCCTACTCTTTATTTATGGATTTGCCTCCTGTGAGGTTAGCACTTTAGTGCTCCACGAGAGGGGGTCAGCCTGTGGCCTCAAGAACAGTGTGAACCTTGCTGGCACTTCTGTAGTAACAGAGTGAAATGGACATACAGCTATTTCAAAAATCATTTCATCTAGGGCTGGTGGAGCGGCTCAAGTGGTAAGAATGCCTGCCTAGCAAGTGTGAAGCTGTGAGTTCAAACCCCAGTGCTGCCACAAAAAAAAAAAAAAAAAAAGAAGAAATCATTTCATCTAGATTTATAATACATTACATGACTTTAGTTTCTCCAGGAAACTAAACTTCTTGTCCAAATAATATTTGAAGCGATAAATGAAATGTACTCACCAGGAATTAGAAGTTTAGAGGGTAGGAAACTAGTCTGGGAGTCCTAACCTGATGCAGTAGTTCTCAACTGGATCAATTTTGTTCCTTGGGTGACATTTGGCAAAGTCCGGAGACGTTTTTGGTTGTCACTACTGTGGGGTAGTAGTGAGGAGAGTCTAGTTAGTAGAGGCTGAGGGCACTGCTGAATATTCCAGAATGCACAGGACAGCCCCCTCCTTCCTCCAACAAAAGGGTTTCCAGCCCAAAATGTCAATAGTCCCAAGGCTGAGAAAGCCTGGCTGGAGACAGCGAGCACAGCAAAAGCTTCATGTAGAGCAGATGAGATTTTGGCCATAGGAGCTGTGATCTTTAAGCCTTCATTTCCTAATGGGACTATGACACTATGCACAGTGACAGGGTGGCAAAAATGCCACTGCTGAGTAAGAAAGTGCTCAGGACTTTTCTATACGCTCTACTACGATGCACCCGTCTTGAGTATGAGTAAAAAGTACTGGAGCTTTGTGAAATACTGCATCCTGGACTTTCAAATGGACAAGCTTTGACAGTACTACTTTGTCTGTTCATTAGGATACAACAACTTCTTTGTTCTAGTTTTGCTACTGCTCATTCTAGGCCCAACTCCAGACAAAGGGCCCCATGAAGAATAATTGTCCCCATGCCACAACTGCCACACACACACTGTTCATGAGTTGTTCTTTACCAGATATTCTCCCTGACTGTTGAGACTGAAGAACTTTGCTAATTCCCACTAGTATATTGTCCGCTCTCATAGGAAGCACAGGACTTTGTCATTCCCAGAGGAGCATGTCATAGTTACAGACTCCCATCTA